ACAGCAGCCCAGCACTCCCTTCCAGCCCTTCCCACACCTCCATCCCCCAGAAAGGGACTCCGCCGAAACAAGAAAGGGGGGGGCAGCCCCCAGAAGGCTCGAAGCTCCCGCCCCGCCTCGCTGTCGCGGGCCAGGGGCAGAAAGAGGGAGCGGCAGAGGCGGCGGGGACGCGGCACGGCCGGCACGGCACGGAGCGGGGGCCGCTCGCAGCGCGATGCCGGCGGAGCCGCAGGTCCGGCAGCGCCGGGGCGGGGTCCGAGCGGCGCGGGGGATCCGCCGAGAGCTCCGGCCCCGTGCGGGGACTCCCGCAAGGCCCGGGGGGCGCCGGGCTCCGGCCCTCGGGGCTTTATTCTCCGGCGCCCCGAGCCCCGCGGCTGCGGGGGAAAGAAGCGAAGGGGCGACGGGAAGAGAGGAGGGAGAGCGGGACATGCGAAAGGGCGGGGAGGGAGGTCGGGCTGCGGAGGAAAGCGGGCGGGGAAGGGAAAGGCCGGCAGGGCAGCAAGAGGGACGGTGAACAGAGGAGGGAGAGAGGGGGAATGGAACGGAGGAGCGGGACAGGTACAGGACAGGAAGGAGCCGGGTTTGGAGGGGACACGGAAAGAGAGATAACTGAGGAAAGAGAGATAACTGAGGGGAATACGGGCAGGAGGATGGAGCGGGAGAGAGAGGGACAGGAGGGGGATCCTCCCGGCGCCCCGGCTCCGCCCCGGCTCAGCCCCGCCCGGGCTGCAGCGCTCGGCAGAGCTCGGCTCCGTTCGGCTGGACTCGGCTCCTCGGCCAGCTTCGGCTACTTTCGGCTAAGCTCGGCTATTACCGGCCGCATTCGCCTCCATTCGCCTCTTCGGCAAAGCTCGGCTCGCCTCGGCTGAACTCGGCAAAGCTCGGCTCCGCTCGCCTCCTCGGGCCCTTTCGGCTGCTTTCGGCCACGCTCGGCTATTCCCGGCCGCACCCACCTCCATTCGCCGATTCCCACAGCTCGGCTCCCTCCGGCTCACACGTTTCCTCAGGGCACCTCATTCCAGGGCACACAAACTGCATCTCCTTTTTATTTAATCCCCCCCCCCAAAATCACATACATATCACAAGGAATGTGCAGTTCCGGTTCCCCCACCCCCGTACGCTATTTGTACAGAGGACCTGAGCGCAGTACACAGTCGGGATTCGATTGAATAAAGCCCGGTTTACATTTCAAAGGTTCTCCCTCTGGCACTGCACGCTGTGCTCAACTACCTTCATGGCCACATCCCAGAACAATGTGTCAGATTGCCCGGAGAGTTCCCAATAAAACTCAGGTATAATCACTGAGCAGATTTTTTTTTTTGCTTTAGTTCCATCTCTCACCTGTTCCAATTTTTTTTTATTTTTTTTTTTTTTCGCAGCAGCAGCGACGCGGACCAGGGTTGTTTTTTTTTGTTTTTTTTTTTTTT